GGCCTCATTCACTCTTGTTAGGTAATCTTATTACTTGTATCTGTACCGAGTATTTATAATTTTGTATCTCCAGTCTGAATGTCTTAGTTTAAGACTCATATGTCTAACTGCTTGTACATCTTACCTGGATGACCTACGGGTACTTTAAAATTCAGTACAGATACTCTCAACTTATGATAGATAAACCCTGATAAACCCATCATAAGTTGAAGATATCTAAGTTGAAAATACATTTAATATCCCTAATCTGATGAACATCATAGCTTAGCCTAGCTTACTTTATTTGTGCTCAGGACACTTACATTGGCCTACACTTGGGAAAATCATCTAACACAAAGCCTAGTTTATAATCAAGTGTTGAATATCTCATGTAATTTATTGAATACTGAAAGTGAAAAAAACCATGTGGGTATTCAAAGTACAGTTTCTACTGAATGCATTTATCACCATTGTAAAGTTAAAAAATTGTAAGTCAAACCATTATAAGTTGGGGACCATCTGTATACTCCAAGGTGAACTTGTTATCCTTGTTCCCAAAGCTAGCTCTTTCTATATTATCTGGTTTGAGAAACAAGAATAGTGTATGGTCATGCCACCCTGAATGTGCCCTGTCTCATCTGATCTTGGAAGCTAAGCAGGGTCAGGCCTGGTTAGTACTTGGATGAGAGAAATAAGAATAATGTGCCACTTTCCCTACAGCTTCCAGTATTACTCTCTCACTGAGTTAGTTGAATCTTTGAATTCTTAACCTTTTTCCTAACCATCCCTCTCCCATTTCCAGTGTTTCTGCACTAGTTCATGCCTTCATACATCTCTTGTTTATATTTTTTTCAACATTCCCCTAACTTGTCTCCTTGCCTGTAGTCTTCATTCTATCTTCCTCACTACCTCTGGAATGATTTTCCTAAAGTATAATCTCTTAATATTCTTCCCTTGCTTAAAACCTTTCAGTAGTTCATTGTGGTGTTCTATAGTAGTTTTTAACCTGTTTTGTATCATGGTCCAGTTTGAGTATCTAACTAGGTACTTCTTCATATACTAGGGATATGAAGTGATTTTTATTTCTAGAAAAATGCTCATGCCCCCAGAATGTACATACAGTTTTAAGGAGTTCATGGATGCCCATTCATGGACATAGTTAAAATAATTCCTGGCCTGTAGGATTAAACCCATATTAGCATCCCATATCATACAAGACACACCAAATGGTGACTGGCTGCTCACTCATGCAAAGGTAGTAATCAATCCCCCTTATATCTTTTGAGCTACATATGCCAAATGCCTTTGTTTTTATATTATTCCATGCTGTTTCAAAAAGCTTCTGTAAGCTGGGCGTGGTGGCTCGTGTCTGTAATCCCAGCAACTCAGGGCTACAGCGGGAGGATTGCTTGAGGGCAGGAGTTCAAGACCAGCCTGAGCAACATAGCAAGACCTCATCTCTAAGAAAATGAAGGAAAAAAAATTAGTCTGGTGTGATGGCTTGCGCCTGTAGTCCCAGTTAATTTGGAATGCTGAAGTGAGAGAACTGCTTGAGCCTGGGAGTTCCAGGCTGTAGTGAGCTATGATTGTGCCAGTGCACTCCATTCCAGCCTGGTTTAAAAAAACAAAAAACATCATTTGTGCCTTTTCCTAGTTGTCTTTATGTATGAAAGTCATCCCTGTCCTGTCCCCAGTTGGTTCCATTATTGAACACCTACTCATGTTCCAAGGTTGGCCATTGTAGTACTGGCTTGTATCAGAGAACTTTACTGTTCCTTTTCATTATTGATCATGGGAATTAAAAAAAACCTTTATTCTTATTTGTGTATGTATTTTTGTCTCTTTTTATCTCTTTATATAGCTACTCTTGTGTTTTATAAATTCTTCGTGTATTTTTTTTTAAAGGAAACAAGTTCTTCATGTATTTTTTTCATTGTTTATCATTCTAGGACATTTCTGTTAGTTTGCTTATCACAAGTCTTAAATTTTGCCAACATTGCCTTTCTCTTTTTCCCATCTGTTATTTTGTTACATATATTTTTGTTTTCCACTACTTTTTTGAAAATTCCTGAGGGCTGGTGGTTTATCCTGTTGGTCTTTGTGCCTGATGCCTATAGAGTACCTTGTATCTTAAGAAATGTGTATCAGCCCGGTGCGGTGGCTCACGCCTGTAATCCTAGCACTCTGGGAGGCTGAGGCGAGCGGATCGTTTGAGTTCAGGAGTTTGAGACCAGACCAGCCTGAGCAAGAGTGAGACCTGTCTCTACTAAAAATACAAAGAAATTAGCTGGATAACTAAAAAAATATATATATAAAATAGCAGGGCATGGTGGCACATACCTGTAGTCCTAGCTACTCAGGAGGCTGAGGCAGAAGGACCACTTAAGCGCCAGAGTTTGAGGTTGCTGTGAGCTAGGCTGACACCATGGCACTCTAGCCCATGTAACAAAATGAGACTCTGTCTCAAAAAAAAAAAGGTGTATCAAAGGAACACAAAAAATCATAAGAGGGCATTGTTATCTATTTCTATTTTTAGAATGTAATTATACTTCTAGATGTAATTATACTACTAGGTCTGTATGTAGACTTTGCAGAATTAGAAAATTTTTCTAAACTACAAATTCTAATGATCTTTACATAAAAGTAGTATATTATAATTGTCACAGAAGTGCCTTAGAAATTTTAAGAAAATTAGGTGGTAGTTCCAATTCGGTCTTGGTTGCAAACAACACAAACTGATTCCAGCTTACTTAAGCCGAAAAAGACTTCTGGAGAGAATGTTGAGTTAGCCCAAAGAATGGATAGGAAAGCTGGAAAGTCAGGCTCAGGAGAGACAGGCAGGAAACGAAGAGTAGGCTACAGGAGTAGAATACAGTTAAGTGTTGCTTAACGATGGGGAAATATTCTGAGAAGTCTGTCCTTAGATGATCTCATCCTTGTGAATATCCATAGAGTTTACGTACACAAATCCTAAGCTGTAGGGTACATAGCCTATTGCTCCTGGGCTAGAAAACTGTATAGCATGTTACTATAGGCAGTTGGAACACAATGGTAAATGTGTATCTAAACACAGAAAAAGTACAGTAAAAATATAGTATAAAAGATAAAAAATGGTATACCTGTATAGGACACTTACCATGAATGGAGCTTCCAGAACTGGAAGTTGCTCTGGGTGAGTCAGGTAGTGAGTGGCGAGTGAAAGTGAAGGCCTATTACATTACTATGCACTACTATGGACTGTATAAAGACAGTATGCTTAGACTACATTAAATTTATAAAAAATATTACTGTCAATAATAAATATAGGCTAGGCACAGTGGCTCATGTCTATAATCCTAGCATTTTGGGAGGCCAAGGTGGGAGGATCACTTGAGGCCAAGAGTTCAAGACCAGCATGAGAAAGAGTGACACCCCATCTCTACAAAATGTAGATTAGTCGGGTGTGGTGGCACACACCTGTAGTCCCAGCTGCTTGGGAAGCAGAGGCAGGAGCATTGCTTGAGCCCAGGAGTTTGAGATTACAGTGAGCTATGGTGACGCCACTGTACTCTAGCCTGGGAGACAACAGGTGGTTAAGGTTAAAAACACTTTTATTATTTTTTGTTATTTAATTTTATAAACTTTTAAATATTTTTTTAAAAAGACAAGGTCTTACTCTTTCGCCCAGACCTTAACTGCAACCTTAAACTCCTGGGCTCCAGTGATCCTCCTTCTCAGCTTTCCAAGTAGCCAGGACTACAGGTACACACCACCACGGCTGGCTAATTGTTTTAAAATTTTTTTGTGGAGACGGGGTTTCACTATGTTGCCCAGGCTGATCTTGAGCTCCTAACCTCCAGTGATCTTCCCACCTCGGCCTCCCAGAGTCCTGGGATTACAGACATGAGCTACTACACCTGGCCAAGTTTTTCATTTTTTTAAACTTTTTGACTCTTTAGCTTAAAACACAAACACATTGTACATAAAATATTTTCCTTCTTTTTTTTTTATCTCTTTTTTTGAGATGGAGTCTCATTCTATTGCCTAGGCTAGAGTGCCATGGCATCAGCCTAGCTCACAACAACCTCAAACTCCTGAGCTCAAGTGATCCTCCTGACTCAGCTCCTGAGGAGCTGGGACTATAGGCATGCGCCACCACACCAGGCCCCTTTGTTGAAATCTTTAAGCAGTTCATATTGCTTGTTCTTTTTTTTTTTTTTTTTTTTGAGACAGAGTCTCGCTTTGTTGCCCAGGCTAGAGTGCCGTGGCGTCAGCCTAGCTCACAGCAACCTCAAACTCCTGGGCTCGAGTGATCCTTCTGCCTCAGCCTCCCGGGTAGCTGGGACTACAGGCATGTGCCACCATGCCCGGCTAATTTTATATATATATATCAGTTGGCCAATTAATTTCTTTCTATTTATAGTAGAGACGGGGTCTCGCTCTTGCTCAGGCTGGTTTCGAACTCCTGACCTTGAGCAATCCGCCCGCCTCGGCCTCCCAAGAGCTAGGATTACAGGCGTGAGCCACAGCGCCTGGCCTGCTTGTTCTTTTAAAAAGAAAGCAGTTATTTGGAAAACTCTCAAGAGAGGCACAGGTCATTTACCTACCACTAAAAGTAGTAGTAGTATTAATATGTGGTAGGTAAAACAGCTGCCAGGTCCTTATCACAAAGTGAAAGTTGTGGTTGTATTTATTAGGGTACAAGTTTAGGGTGCCTAATATAGAAATTCAGATTAAAGTGACTTAAATACAATCCAGAGGTGAGTGGTCCAGGCTGGTCTGTCTGTCTTGTTGCTTTAGCTTTGGTGTCTTTGTTTGATTGTCAAAGCTGGGCCAAAGCGATTTTCCCGCCTTGGCCTCCTGAAGTGCTAGGGTTACAGGCATGAGCCACTGTGCCAGCCAACAGTTATATTTTTTTAAGATTGCTGGAAAGAAAAGTCTGAGAAACATTTATTTGATATTTAGTTGAATAATTGGAGTCAATGAGAAAATGTCTGGTGTGTAAAAATCTTTAAACTGAAAAAATACTTCTATGTTTTTAGGTTTTATTACACATCTGTAAGTAGACTTCTTTGGAGCTCTGCCAGTAAATTCAATGGCGTCCTCTACTACTGTGCCTCTAGGATTTCACTATGAAACAAAGTATGTTGTCCTCAGCTACTTGGGACTCCTCTCTCAGGAGAAGCTGCAAGAGCAACATCACTCCTCACTCCAAGGTATTATCTTTGGCTTTTATTGGTTATATTAGGTGGTAATAAGTTCATATGTAAACGCATATGTATCTAAGTAATTTATATGTATGGTTATGAGATTAATACTAATAAGGTTAATCCCTTAGCATCTTTTGGTTCATTTCCAGAAGCAACTCCTTTATTTTTTGTCTTTCTTTGTATCTTTTTATTTTCTTTCTTTGTTTATTTATTTCAGTATATTATGGGGGTACAAATGTTAAGGTTACGTATATTGCCCTTCCCCCTTCGCCCCTCGAGTCAGAGTTTCAAGCATGTCCATCCCCCAGATGGTGCATATTGCACTCATTATGGATGTATATACCCATCCCCTCCCCCCCACCTGCCTGACACCCGATAAATGTTATTTGTGTATGTCCACTTAGGTGTTGATCAGTTAATACCAATTTGCTGGTGATTACATGTGGTGCTTATTTTTCCATTCTTAGAAGCAACTACTTTTAATGTTTTTTTGTTCTTTCTCTTTATTAGTTCTTTTTAATTTTAATAGATTTAGGGGATACAAGTTAAATTCTATTACATGTATATATTGTGTTGTATTGGAATCTGGGCTTTTGGTGTACCCACTACCTGAGTACTGTACATTGTACCCCATAGGTAATTTTTCATCCCTCAGCCCTTCCTACCGTCCCACACTGAGTTGTCATTGTTCATTTTACCACTCTGTGTGCCCTTGTCTAGTCATAGTTCAGTTTCCATTTATAAATGAGGACATACGGCATTTACGTTTCTGTTCCTGAGTTAGTTCCCTTACGATAAATGACACCTAGTTCCATCCAAGTTGTTGCAAAAGGCATTATTTCATTCTTTCTTATCACTGAGTAGTACTCCATGGTATATATACATTTTTTTAATCCACTCATCAGTTAATGACCACTTAAGTTGATTCCATATCTTTGCAGTTGTGAATTGTTCTGTGATAAACATATGAGTACAGGTATCTTTTTGATACAATAATTATTTTTCATAGGGTAGATACCCAGTAGTGGGATTGCAGGATCAAATGGTTGATCTACTGTTAGTTCTTTGGGAATCTCCATACTGATCTCCATAGAGGTTGTACTAATTTACATTTCCATCAACAGTGTATAAGTGTTCCCTTTTTACCGCATCTACCCTAATATCTATTGTTTTTTGACTTTTTAATAATGGCCATCCTGACAGGATAAGATGATATCTCATTGTAGTTTTAATTTGCATTTCCCTGATGATTAGTGATGTTGAGCATTTTTTCATGTGTTTTTTGGCCATTTATCTATCTTTTCAAAAATGGCTGTTCACTTCATTTCCCTACTTTTTTTTTTTTTTTGAGATAGAGTCTCGCTTTGTTGCCCAGGCTAGAGTGAGTGCCGTGGCGTCAGCCTAGCTCACAGCAACCTCAAACTCCTGGGCTCAAGCAATCCTCCTGCCTCAGCCTCCCGAGTAGCTGGGACTACAGGCATGCGCCACCATGCCTGGCTAATTTTTTCTCTCTCTATATATATTAGTTGGCCAATTAATTTCTTTCTATTTATAGTAGAGACAGGGTCTCACTCTTGCTCAGGCTGGTTTCGAACTCCTGACCTCGAGCAATCCACCTGCCTCGGCCTCCCAGAGTGCTAGGATTACAGGTGTGAGCTACCACGCCTGGCCCTTAATCTATCTTGAGTTAATTTTTGTATATGGTGAGAGAGAGGGATCCAGTTTTATTCTTTGATATATTGGCTAGCCAATTTTGCTAACACAAGTTATTGTATAATGTGTTCTTTCCCCAATGTATGTTTTTGTTTGCTTTGTCAAAGATCAGTTGGTTTTATTTCTGGGTTCTCTATTCTGTTCCATTGATCTGTGTGTTTACTTTTGTGCCAATACCATGCACTTTTGGTTGCTATAGCCTCATAGTGTAATTTGAAGTCAGGTAATCTGATGCCTTCAGTTTTGTTCTTTTTGCTTAGGATTGCTTTGGCTATTTGGTTACATATGAATTTTAGGTTTGTTTTTCCTTTCTTTTTTGGTTACATATGAATTTTAGGATTGTTTTTCCTAATTCTATGAAAAATGACATTGGTATTTTGATAGGAATTTCATTTAATCTGTAGATTGCTTTGGGCAGTATGGTTATTTTAACAATACCAATTCTTCTAATCCATGAGCATGAGATGTTTTTCTATTTGTGTCGTCTATGATTTCTTTCATTAGTGATTTGTAGTCACTCTTTATACATTCTCTGCAGAGATCTTTTACATCCTTGGTTAAATTTATTCTTAGATATTTTACTTTTTTGCAGCTATTTTTAATGAGATTGAGTTCTTGATTTGGTTCTCAGCTTAGTCATTTATGTATAGAAATGCTATTGATTTTTGTATGTTGATTTTATAACATGAAACTTTGCTGGTTCATTTATCAAATCTAGGAGTCTTTTGGAGGAATCCTCAGAGTTTTCTAGGTATAACGTCATATCATCAGCAAATAGATAATTAGACTTCCTCTTTTCCAGTGTGGATGACCTTTATTTCTTTCTCTTGCCTGATTGCTTTGACTAGGACTATGTTGAATAAGAGTGGTGAAAGTGGGCATCCTTATCTTGTCCCAGTTCTTAGGAGCAATGCTTTCAACTTTTCTCCATTTAGTATGATGTTGGCTGTGGGTTTGGCATATGTGGCTTTTATTATTTTGAGGTAAGTTCCTTCTATACTTAGTCTTTTGAAGGTTTTTATCATGAAAGGATGCCAAATTGTATTGAATGCTTTGCTTTTTCTGTACCTATTGAGATGATAATATGGTTTTTATTTTTAATTCTATTTATGTAGCCGATCATATTTATTGTTTTGTTCATGTTGAACCATCCCTGAGAACTCACTTGATCAGTGAGTGGTGAATGATCCTTTTGATGTGCTATTGGATTTGGTTTGCTGGTATTTTGTTGAGGATTTTTATGTAAAGGTTCATCAGAGATGTTGGTGTATAGTTTTTTTTTTGTTGTATCCTTTCTTGGCTTTGGTATCAGGGCGATACTGCCTTCCTAGAATGAGTTAGGGAGGAGTCCCTCCTTGATCTTTTGGAACAGTTTCAGTAAGATTGACACTGGTTCTTTGTATGTCTGGTATAGTTTGGCTGTGAATCTATCTGGTCCTTAGGTTTTTTTATTGAGAGGTTTTTTTTATTATCAATTCAGTCTCACTACTTGTTATTGGTCTCAGGAGTTCTATTTCTTCCTGGTTCAATCTCAGTAGGTTGTTTGTTTTCGGGAATTCATTCATTTTCTCTAGGTTTCCTAGAGAGTATATAGTTCATAATAGTCTGATACTCTTTTGTATTCCTGTGGTATCAGTTGTAATGTCTCCTTTTTCATTTCTGACTATGTGTATTGGAGTCTTGGTTAGTCTAGTTAGTGGTTTATCCATTTAAAGAACCAAATTTTAATTTTGTTGATCCTTTGTACTCTTTTTTTGACCTCTATTTCATTTAGTTCAGCTCTGATCTTTGTTATTTCTTTTCATCTTGTAACTCTGGGTTTGGTTTGTTCTTGTTTTTTAGTTTCTTCAGGTATGATGTTACATTTTTAATTTGTGATCTTTCTACTTTTTTTTTTTTTTTTTTTTTTTTTCCAGACAGAGTCTCACTTTGTTGCCCAGGCTAGAGTGAGTGCTGTGGCGTCAGCCTGGCTCACAGCAACCTCAATCTCCGGGGCTCAGCGATCCTACTGCCTCAGCCTCCCGAGTAGCTGGGACCACAGGCATGTGCCACCATGCCCAGCTAATTTTTTGTATATATATTTTTAGTTGGTCAATTAATTTATTTCTATTTTTGGTAGAGACGGGGTCTCGCTCAGGCTGGTTTCGAACTCCTGACCTCGAGCAATCCGCCCGCCTCGGCCTCCCAAAGTGCTAGGATTACAGGCGTGAGCCACCGCGCCCGGCCTCTACTTTTTTGATGTAGGCGTTTAAGGCTGTAAACTTCCCACAAGTTCTGGTATGTTGTGTTTTCATTTTCGTTCATTTCAAGAAATTTGGAAACTTATGCCTTTATTTTTTTGTTGACCCAGTGATCATGCAGGAGCACATTGTTTAATTTCTGTGCGTCTGTATAGTTTCTGAAGTTCCTCTTCATATTACTTTTTAGCTTTATTCTACTATGGTCTAAGAAATTACTTGATATGATTTGGATTTTTAAAAATGTGTTGAGACTTGTTTTGTGTTCTAAAATGTGGTCTATCTTAGAGAACGTTCCATGTGCTGATGAAAAGGCTGTATATACTATAATTGTTGGGTGGAATGCTCTGTAAATGTCTGTTTAAGTCCATTTGGCCTAAAGTCTAATTTAAGTCCAATGTTTCTTAGTTGATTTTCTGTCTTGATGATCTGTCTAGTGCTGTGAGTAGGGTATTGAAGTCCCCACTATTATTGTGTTGTTGTGTGTCTCTCTCTTTAGGTCTAATAATGTTTGTTTTGTGAATCTGGGTGCTCTGATGATGGGTGCATGTATATTTAGGATTCTTATATCCTCTCACTGAATTGATGCCTTTATCATTATATGATCTTTGTCTTTTTTGGTTTTGTTTTTTTTTTTTACTGTTTTTGATTAGAAGTATTTTATCTGATATAGGTATAGGTATTCCTAATTGCTTTTGCTTTTCATTTACATGCAATATATTTTTCCACCCCTTCACTTTCAGTTTGCATGTGTCTTTATGGGTAAGGTGAGTTTCTATAAGCATATAGTTGGATCATGTTTTTTTATCTAACAATGTATATCTTTTAAGTGGAACATTTAATCCATTTACATTCTAGGTTAATATTGATATATAGGGGTTTGTTCTTGTCATATTGTTAGTTGATTTCTAGTTGTTTTATAATTTGTTTTTTCTTTTTCTCTTTTTGCCTTTGTGATTTGCTGAATTTCTGTTATGTTGCCATTTAATTCTTATGTATGTATGTATGAATGAAACAATGAATGACAAGGTCTTGCTCTGTTGCTATGGCAAGAAT